TAACAACCTGCTTGATTTTTCGCGAAATCAATCTCCGTCACGAAAATCACTAAATCGGCAACCAAGAATCCAATGCTCATGAAGCTTATATGTTTGGTAAACGTAACTATTGCCAACGTGTCTGCAATGAATTGACCCAGAATATCAAGTACTATTTGAAATTGGATATACCGATTGGCTTGAATTTTTGTCGTCAATCAGCACTAATACAAGAATCCATTGCTCATATAATTTACATGTTTGTTATGCGTGACTGTTGCTGAAGCATGTGTAAAAATTTGATCCAGAATATTAAGTATGATTTGAATTTGGATATAACACTTGAGTCGTCAATCACTACAGCAACTCAACAATCAACCTCATGCTCATATAATTTACATGTTTGTTAAGCATGACCGTTGGTCAGTAATTCTGTAGACGGTTCCGGAATCCGCGTTATACTGATCGGTTATTTAGAAAACAGTGAGTATTAGTTTTAACATCAAGCTCTATAATTGAAAGAGCTAGCCAATTTTCTCAGCAAAATGGAAATTATAAATGCAGATCATGCGGATCAATGTGATGATTCGAATACGGATCTGCCCATATGAAACCCTTTTTAATAATTGAACAGCAATTAAATTTATAAATATATTTACAATTCTTTAGCTCTACTACTACCCAGTACGATTGCTGAAACCAAACATTGCACTCGTGTGGAGCGAAAAAATTGATCGAAGACTTGGTCATAAGTTTTTGCCATGTAAGGTGCTAGAGATTGTAAGAGACAGTTTATATAGACTTGGATGTACTTTAGGTACGTTGAATGTATGTTATCAAGCGGCTGACCTTGATCTAACATTAGCAAACTTTCTTGAGTTGGACGACATATTTACTATTAGTAATATGCAGTAACGCATACTTTGTTGTGGGTTAGAACATTACCATTGTTGTAAATGTAAATGATCATATAAGTGTCATCAAATTGGTTCAAGATTTGCCAATATTTTTGAATCTCTGGTGTGAAAATTGCTTCAAGGATCAGGGTAAATCAGATGACGAATATGTTATTGTCAAAGAAGACCAAACCATTGAGTCGACAAACTCTGAAACGAGTTTCTCTGAAGAAAAAGACAATTTAAAACCTTTTGGTCTTGACGATAAATCAATCAAAAAGTCCTGTTTTGAATATTTTTCAATCAATAATTCTCATTACGTCAGAAGACTTACAGAAACAAATTATCAATAACAAATGAAAGCTATCAAAGACAGGGATTTTAAATTTAAAGAATATGAAAATGAGATTCAAAATTTGAAAGATGAAATTGTAAATTTGGAAGGAGATATCAAACATTATAGAAATGATAGTCAATCTAGTTGGAAAAAATGTAATGCATTACTTAAAGAATTAGAAATTGTTCAGAATAATGAAAAAAAGATTATTAGAAGAGTTAAATGATATTCGTCCAAAAAAGAGATGTCATTCTATACACTAAATTATATCTATTGTTGAATACTTATTATTGTTATTAATAATAAAATTATTCTTTCATTGTTTATCCAATATCATATGACTACATTTACGTTCATCAATGTCGATTTTCCAATTTACAGTCAACTCTGGCTATACTGGTCCAATTTTCGCTGAACCAAAAAATTCCATATTAATATTAATCTTAATCTCACCGGCACAAGTTACACAAAATCATGTAGACCAGTTTACTTTAAATTATATAAAAAGATTTATTTTATACCGGCAAAGTCAAGTGATTATTACTAATAAATGCAGCCATAACTCGGCCAACCTTTTAATTATTACCATGCCACGCAAGAGAATCTCTGCCAAAATTTTAATACAGACATAGAGGCACCTAAACACATTAGAACTTAATAGATCGCCTACAAAATTGACACACTCACTGGACAAAAGTCTGGGTAATTTTTGTTGATCATATATAGTAAAACATGAAAAATCTAAAATTTCAAACATCTGTATTGGCGTTATTTACTAAGCAAACAACAAAAAATTTTATTGTTATGATGTTAATTGACTGTAGTATTCGAATAAAATACTCATAAATTTAAACAAGATGTTATAATGGAACTATTATCTACCAAACTGTCAGTATATATGTTGTCACTTCAGCAAATTACAGCTTTGTTATGATATGTTGTGTAAATTTGTCAGTATTTCATTCGAAAACTACAATCAATTGGCTTCATAACAATACAAAAATTCTGGTTGTTTGCTTAGTAAATAATGCCAATACAGATGTTCGAAATTTTAAATTTTTGTCCAGTGAGTGTATGTTTAAAGAGGTCAATCTCATTATATGAATCATTGAAAGAATATTATTTAACGTCGTTATTGTTTATTAGAATTTATTGAGATCGACAAGAATATCCCGATTGAAGACTTGGTAAACAATCAAGAGATAATCAATTTGGTTCTTCAGGAGAATAGTGAATCATCAGATAGTCCTAATACTAATGAGGAAGTAGAAATACTGAAGAGCATTTCATACAGCGAAGCACACTCTGCCATTCAGACAACACTAATGTTTTTAGAACAAAATCGTAATGACAACATAAAGGTGGTAGAGATGATCTGTTGCTTACGACGGTTAGAAAAAGAAAGGATAAATCATTTGAAACAAACTCAAATAAATTGGTTTGCAGCAACATCAAATTGAAAATAAAAATAATAATAACGAGTTTATCGCACAATTGTGTAGTTACACAATTTCCTACCTGTGTAACAGTTTTATATACCGGTCTCTCGTTATAACGGCCAGAAACTGGCAAAACACTCGTGCCGGTATAGACAGATTGGCTGTATACAAGTCTCGAAACAAAATCGAAATATACAAATTAGAATTACGTTGCATGAAACATAATCTTCTATTAACATATAATAGCACTAATGTATTAGTGTGAAATGAATAGAAAAATTGCATCAACAAAATAATATACATATTATGCGCTAGATGAAGAAGGATGCGATGTATGCAAACATTGGACTAAACAAGTTGGGACGAAAATTTTATATACACAGTTTGTCTAAATTGTTTTAGACCTAGATATATTGAACGAGATTTTAGTAATATATATCAGCTAAGCCATGGCCTTCTATTACTACACCATCAATATTAAATTTCATTAATAAAATAGAAAAAGTGGTTGAAGTTATGCTGAAGTCTAGACGATAATAAAGATACTAAAGTCGATTATTTTATAATATAAACAATAAATATAATTTACTCACCAATTTACATTCATTTTGTTCGCCAAAATACCTAACATGATCTTAGTTAATTAGGCGAGAGGATTTGTATAGCAAGCGAAGCAGTGTACAGTCGACGATACATACACTCCCCTGCCAAAAATTTAGGGCCACCCCTGCTGATCAATTAGTAATACATATGAAAATTTCATTTTTTCGAAAACCTCTATTGGTCGTATTTACTAAGCTAATAACAAA